TTTAATTCCTTATACTAGGATAAAGACTCAGTATTTAAAATCCCGCCCTATAATCAGTACTATCTGTTATAGTATAAATTCCAGATAACATGAGAATTGTAATATCCGAGTGTGACTTTGACTCACACGTGGAAAGCATTAACTGACACATAAGCTGTGGATATTAAATTTATATCATTCAAGTATCCTTTTACTGGGAAGACATCAGTCGGACAGCCTAGAACCAAAATGACACATTTTACCAAAGCCACGACCTTACTTTACTGTTCCAGTGCTACAGCATCATAATCTGCAAAGTGGTGCTGACCATGGGCTCTTATCAAGCATTCGGAAGTGGTGCATAAGAAAGTGCTACGATTGCCACTGTTCCCATTATGCAAATATACTAATAATGCCTTTTTATGTTCTTATAAAATTCATGGAGCATTTCTATTGTGAAAAAATTTAAATTCTTAATGTAAACATTACTGCACAAGAACTATGTTAAACAAAGTACTTTATAAACACTAAAGGCAATTAGCTACTTGAGGGATGGGGTCTCTTCTAGCACAGGCTAGCCTTGGAAGCTCTATGTACCTGAGGATGACCTAGAAGTCATGACCCTCCTCTCTCAAACTGCAAGTATTGGCATCTCAGGCATGTGCCACGCTCAGCTACACCAGAATCTATGAATTTAAAGGTGCATACTTTCTTGAACTATGGGAGAGCATGCCACACTGTGAAAATAAAGATCCCAAGGTGACAATGCAGAGCACTGATTCCTCTCTGATCTCTTTCAGAGCACTGAATTCTACTTCTAAAATCCTATCAAGTGTAGCAGCGGCCTTTTAGTCTGACTGAAGTTTGTCCAGTACTTTACTCAACTATGTGAAAAGCATGCACGATTGGCAGTGAGCAGGTAGGCAGAGCCTGACTCCGGGTTCCCAGCTCAGTGCAGGTGCAGCTGAGGTGCATGGAAAGGCCTGCACAGCCACAGAAAGGCCAGAACTAATACTCCTTCCGAGGAGACACTGCCACCTACTTGAGAGCTCTGTCACTGCCAGGGTTAGCAACAGTTCAAGAGCTCAGCTTACAGAGCCCGACCCTTCTTAACCTACTATTGTCTGTGTATGTTGCCGCTCACGCTAGGTGCTGGTAATATACAAATGAACAAGCCTACACCTTTGCTTCCTACAAGGTATAAAAACATCACAGAAATTACATATTCCATAGAGAAGCTGATACTTATATAGAAAAGTTTTGTTATTTAAAAGCTAATATATCAGGTCATTTGCTAATAAGTAAATTTAGTAGGCAAGTAAGAGTATAAATTTTGGCCAGGAGGTAGTGACACATGCCTTTAATCCTAGCACTCGGGAGGCTGAGGCAAGCAGATGTCTGAGTTCGAGGCCAGTGCGATCTACAGAGCAAGTTCCAAGCTAGCTAGGGTTACACAGAAAAACCCTGTCTCCCCAAAAAGAGTATAGACTCAAGGCCATTCAATGATTCAACTCTTAGATCCTGTAAAATTGTGGAAAAAAAAAACATAGTGAAAATTTAAACACACACACACACATACACATATATGAGAGAGAGAGAGTATTTAAAGTGCTATGTAGGCTCCATAATTGTTCTTAAATGTATAGCCACACCCTAGAGACATAAGCAGACAAACACTGTTTAATAACAAAACATTTATTGCTCAAGTCTGGCTTCATAAAGCTAGTTCAGCAGGAACCATTTCTCTGAGTGCTACTTTGCGCCTTTGTTATGGGAATCCTCAGTGGACATCACTTGTGGCATGCTGTGACTAAACTTTGTATTACTAGATGATTAACTCTTTCAACATCAGGCAAATAAAACTGCCTTCTGAGAGTGAAAATCATATTTCTTACCAAAAAAAAAAGCAAAGAGTCAGTAGAATGAAAGACTCAAGACCACAAGCTGAACACACTAGCAGGGAAAGGCGCTTGCCAACTCTTCACAGACTGCTAGAATTGAGAAGTGGATGATGCATTTAGTTACCACTGTGGTCTCATCTGCAGCTATTTCATTTACAAAAAAAAAATGAACTTGTTTCTTTTTCCTTGAAAATTTCAGAAGTTATTTTTAAAATAACTTAGATGTTCTGTTTCTTTAGAACTTTTTATCATTAAAACTCAGTAAAACCACATGTGAACATCATTCTGAGAAAACATATTTTTGAGCACAATATCCTTGTGTTAAAAAATAAAATATAGGGCAAAAGTATAATAAGTTAATTAAGTATTAAAATTTTAATGAAAAATTTAAAGATTATTGTAAGTAATTTAAGTAATCTTTAAATAATTTAAAGATTATTTTAAGAGTGTGACCTGCATTTCAGTGACTGAAATAACTCTCATTTCTTTTTTATCTATAGCAGCCAAAAGAACTGTGACAAATCCTAAAAGGCTTGAGGTTATCTAACTTCTTCCTAAGCTTCCTCTTTTAAAAATAGGCAATAATGAGTCTGGAAAATATGGTGAAATACTTTGAGCTTATTTTTTTTTTTTTGTCAAGGTGCATGCATTATTTCAAAAACGAGGTTTTAAATATGTTGCATAAAATGAATAATTTCATGCGCTGTTATTCACCTATCCTCATCTCTGAGGTGCTCACACAAATAATCTTCCCTCCTGCACTCTAAGACAACGTGGACATGACACTTTTAACCTTATGCACTTAGGCTGTAATACAGTTAGCTTGGTATGGCATGTAGGCTAATAAATAAACAGAAAAGGTTGATGAATGGAGCAAGGGAGGAGGACTATCTTTTCAATTCCACAAACAGGTGCTGACTGGCACGTTAAAGCATGAATTCCTATAAAGTTACTGGCTACTGGAAGAGAAACACAAGTATAAAAACACGAAGATAAAAACACATGTTAATTTTGGTTTCTTCTGCTGGAACACTTATCATTTTACAAGGTACCTTTAGAGCCACTGTCTCCTAGTGCCCTTGGAGCTCTTTGGTAGGGCCTGCACTATTATTAGAAGTACCTTTCAAATGATGAAAGAAAGGCAGGAGGCAAGGTCACTGAAGTGAGCAGGACAGGAACACGAGTTGAGTTCCATGCTATTGTCCAGCTAAAGAAGCCCTGATAGCAATGGGAAGCTACTTAAGGACAAAAGACAGAACGGAACTTAACTAATCTTTTTGGTGAAAATTTCAAAAGTCTGAAAAAACCAAATTATGAACCGAATGAAGATGGTTGTGAAATCTCCTAAGAGTCTGAGGCAATAACTGTGCTCCTTTTCCTGGAGTGTGGTTCCAATCATAAAGTAATTGGGTGTAATTATCCTTGTCTATGGGAAAACTAGAAAGGGGCAAATAACTGTGTCAGGGAACTTGTTAGGAGACAGACTGGGGCCCTGGAGGACCTGAGAGACTCACTTCCCTTTCTCTGTAAGAGGGCAGCAGCATTTCTGCTAATAGTTGCTAGTAAATGTAAGTGGTATTCATTGCTTGACAATGAACTAGCAACAGTCTGACAAAAATGTGAATGTAAGTTGTATGTACAAGTTGTAATTATTAAGATGATGGATATGCATCATCAGCTTATCAAAATATTGAACAATTTTATGTGATAATCTAAAGCAATAAAACCTAGTAAAGACCCTTCACCTTTATACAATAAATGATTACAAAATACTGATTTTGAGAAAGATGTCTAATTAGAAAAGCAAAATCCTAATTTCAGAATAGAAAATAAATACTTAAAAAACATAAATCCAAATAATTCTCAGAATGCCTCCTGAGTCCTAAAAAGTGGATCCAAAGTTTTATCTTCCTCATTATTTTTAGAATGGCAGGAATATATAATCTTTATAGTTGAAAATATTAGATTTCTTTGCCAGATGCCATTTTCATTGACATTGAAATTTTGCTCAAATTTTATATTAAAAAATTCTCAAATACAATTTACCAAAGCTATTTGCTTAAAACAACAACAAACAAACAAACAAACAAAAAAAAAAAAAAAACAGAATGAGAAATTAGCTTCAGCCAGTCTGCTATCTCACACTTGTAACCTCAAAACTCAGGAGACAGAAACAAGAGGGCTGCCTGACATTCAAGACTCCTTAAACTTATCAGTTTAAAGCAAGCATGAGCTACAAAGATCCCGTCTCAAAACAAAATAAAAAAAGCCAAAACAAATAAAAACCTCCAAACCAAACAAATGCCTACCATACAAACAAGACCCAAAAAACAAAATAATTCACACAATATTCATCTAACACATTAAATATCCATATTTCCTGTACTATTTACCCTTTAAATTAAATTGATATAGGCCCAATTTTATATGAATTTCATTTATTTACATTTATTTACTAATAAAATAGTGGAGACTCTGTGATTCTGACACAGCACAATCATAGTTTTTTATTTTTTTGGTAATCTAAGGTTGGCTTCAAACTCAATAAGAAGCAGAGGATGATCCTAAGCTTCTGATACTCCTATCTCCACTGTAAAGCTATGTGCTAGGTTTACAGGTATGCACAACCACATCTAATTCACGTGGTGCTAATAGTCAAAGGCAAGGCTCCATGCACGCACACTATGTAAGCACTTCACCACTGAGCTTCAGCCCCAATATGTGCACTTTTGATAATATCTAAATTACATTCTCATAATGCATGAAAAATAACGAAAGGGAGCTGGGTGGTGGCGGCGCACGCCTTTAGTCTCAGCACTCTGGACACAGAGGCAGGAGGAATGCTGAGTTTGAGGCCAGCCTGCACTACAATGTGATAGACAGGCTACACAGAGAAACCCTGTCTTGATGAAACCAAAAGTAAACAAACAAACAAACAAACAAAAAGAATGAAATGTTGACACATCCTAATAACAATCTATGTTACCTTTTGGCTCTTTTATATAATATATTCAAAGAGATGGTTAATTGAAAGGATTATTAATAGATTTTATAGTACTCATAACTCCTGGCCCATTCTAGATGAAAATATTCTTCATTTACATTAAGCCATGGACTTACCCTGGAAGTCATAAACATACAGAAGAACCGGCTCACTCTGTCCAAATGCACAAAACGCAACCATGTTCTCAAAGGGATGGTAAGATAGGTCTCGAATAGTTGACTTGAATGGCAGGTCAGAATACATTGCTACTTGTTCTCCTAAAGAAAAATAAAAGGCAACAACTTGTATCATGTCACATATTTCTCCTTCCAAGATTATTCTGTATCTTATTTGAACACACTTAGAGTAACGGTGAGGGTCCCATTACTTACATGAAAACCTGAAATACTTCCAGGTGTTTGAGCATCACCGTGACTGAATAGTTATCGCCACTTTGCATTTTGTTGGCTTCTTTGTATGTTTTAACCCAATCTCTTCAATGTTTTAGGAAACAAAATAAACATAAAGTGTTTTGGTGGAAAAGAAGAGATATGTATGGCCAAGATCTGAGAACAGTGCAAATTGTAATTAACAATGATTTTGGCAGAACTGGGGAGGGATTACAGAACAATGTAACTGAAGAGAGTCTCGGATTGGGAGAACTGTCAAGAGCTCTTTTTTTTTTTTTTTTTTTTTTTTTAATTTTCGTTTTTCTCCTAGAGGCAAGGTGCTAGCTGCTTGAAAAGTACGTGTAATAGAGTTAGAAGACACCACTGTAATAGAGAGAAATCAGGAAAATCAGCCAAAGCTAAAAGGCATCAGAAACTTTGACTGGAAAGTTTTGTTACTAATCAAACTGTATCATCAATGTTGATCATACATCTACATAGCCACGACACAGCTGATAGTGTCTGTATTTTGTGTTACAGTGTTCATATAGTACCTTTCCAACATCTATACTATCTATAGGCATAGAGAGAATGAGTCTTGCTTTATAATGTGAAATTTTAAATTCACAATGATATTAAAACAATCAAGAACAAATGTAGTATGTATTTAGCTGTTTCATCACCAGCTATCTGCTGTGGTCTGTGTAAGCTGTCCCCATGGGCTCATGTGTTTAAATACTTGGCCCCAGCTGGTCCCGTTTCAGATGCTCGGAGACCTTTAGGATGTGGAGCTGTCATGGAGATGGAGGGGTGTCAGTGAGGGTGGGTTTTCTAGTGTCCTAATTCCTGCTCACTCGTCATCTTCTGTGTGTGTGTGTGTGTGTCTGTCTGTCTGTCTGTCTTCATTTTACTTCTCCTTGGAGAGGCCAGGCTAATTGGTCAAAGAGCTTCTCTGGTGCTTTTCCACTGCTTCCCATTCTGCCACAGTAATGCTGGGGTACAGCTAGGTGTCACTGCTTCTTGATTTGCATGGTTTCTGGGGGTTCAAACTCATATCCCCACACTTTGATGGCAAACACTTACTTTACCCACTAAACTGTCTCCCCAGCCCTCACTCCCTGCTTCCAAATTGCCAAGGCAAGTGAGCAGCTGCCTCTGCTTCTGCCATTGTGACTCCCTTGGAACTGAGGCAAAAATAGACCCCTTCTCCCTTAAGCTGCTTCGTGGCAAGTATTTTGTCACAGTAACAAGAAAGTGATGAATACACCGCCTAATTTCAGAACATAGTGCTAAAAACACAAAGTCAGGCTTTTTCTAACAGTATCAAAAACTGGAGTTCTCACATGCTTTTAACTTCCTATCTGCATTCCCCAACAGATGTTTTCAAGATTAGTAACTACTTACCTGTCTCTGGGTTCCAAACATACACTATCCCATCCTCACTCCCAGAGAAGAGGAAAGTCCCACATGGTGTCAAAGTGCTATGGATCTTCTCCCGATAATTTGCCGCACCAACAAATTTCCTGGCTGCTAGTCTATACACAAACAGAAAAAGTGCAACTATAACCCCAGTTAATTCTTTAGAGGACTAATGGGAGAGAAACGTCATTTGTAAATACTGAATTTGCGTTGGTTACGATGTTTCGAGTCTGTGACATGGTAGACCACATTCTGTGGTTGTTTGCTCAGCAAACAAGAGCTGTTTCTGATCCTTTCTAATTTATGTAACACATTTCTTCTTTCCTCTGCTGAATTATAATAACAATAAATAATAGATAGTATATAGACTTTTTCATTTAGAACAACAGCTGACATTGTTCCAGTGCTCACACTGTAAGATAGGAGACCAGATATACTACTCTATAACCTTCTTTACTCAACAACAAACTCATCAACAATGGCTTCTGTGTCAGATAACAGACTACGTCATTATTCAATGGCATATGCCACCATCTAAACGTACCTCAAGAGATGTTCTATTGCTGGACATTTACTATATGTCTTGCTTTCTTCTACCATAAACATGGTTTCCATAATAATCTTATTGCATGTGTGTACATATATATGTATATATGTGTGTGTGTAAATAAATGAGCAAATTATTCTACAATTTAGCTCACTTTGTTTAACCAATAATTTCCATCCACTGCATTCTTGCTTTCTATAACACGGTATGTGAGTGAGGCAACAGTCAGTGACACTCACATCTTAGGAGTGACCCTAAAGGAGGGCTCTGGAGAAGACTGCAGGTTTCATGTACAGCTGCTTTCAAAAGTAAGGTATAAAATAAAACCTTTCCATCTTAGCAGAAATCAAATATGTGTGTGTGTATACACAAATACATACACATACATATGTATATATGTATACACACGTACATACACATTTTCCTTTTAGATCTCCAGGCCTGGAGTTATTGAGTGAAACATTTATGGACCCCTTACTGTGTGCTTTTATTGCTGTAAGCATTCTACTTACTAACTAGTTTATTCCTCCACAAAACCCTTCTGGATGTGGTATATTATTTCTCCATCTGAGAAAGGAGGAAGGAGTAGAAAAAGCAGTATTTGACTCTTTCAGTAGCCCATCTCTGGAGCCCAGGTATGATCGAACAGGGCTTATTCAGACTTGGCCTCCTAATCTAGTCCTAGTTTCTACTTTTGAAACTTCCCTCTTTGTATCCCTGTCAAGAGACCTATGCTCAGGCTACCTATCTGAGCACATATCCCACTTTGAACTGTACTTCATTTTCTACCCTACTGAAAACCTCTATCTTATCTAAGGTCTATCCATCCTTCAGACTCATACGCTAGTCTTTAAACAGAACCTTTATCAGAAGGCTAAATCATAGCTGTTACCTTTCTTGTTGCTGTGACGTATATAATAATTATACCATACATTTAGATTTATTTACCTGGCATGCCATGGTACTATGTACAGAAAAAGAATCTTCAGATTTCAATACGAACTCTCGTGTTGTAATCTAAATGTTAGCTGTTATGTGAAAGGTAAGGACTAGATTATAAACTTCAGACGTGCTAATTCTGCTACCAGTTTTCCACACTCCCACGCTGGGGTCTTGAGCTATTACGCTAAAGGGATAATGCACAAAAAGATACGCACAGAATCAACTCATGCAGATTACTGTGTATATTTCTAAGTACAGTAGGAGACCCATGAAGTAGCTTTCTCTTGTTTGTTTCACATGGAATCCTAACACCAGCAAACAGTGCACTAGCAGGATACACTGCCTTGGCTAAACTCTGCTCTGCTTGCTGTCTATAGTAAGGTATTTCCTATCCATTTCCTTGCTGGAGTAAAACAAGCACAAAGGACCTAACCCAATGACAGCAACTTCAGTTAGACACTCAATGTCTGTTGTTCATCGTGAAAATAAAACCAACCAAATACATTTCATCCTCAGAGCTATTTAAACAGCGTCAAGTATTTCTGTTGTGGGGGTTGTCTTAGCCACAGCATGCTTAGCAGCACCTCTGATCATCGCTTATCAGATGTAAAAAGCAACATAAAAGATCTCTACAGATGGTGTGTCCAGGACACAAACTGCCTACTCAAAAACATTGCCGAAATTTACAAACGTAAAAGAACCACGAAGTACTCATCCTGTTTCTACTAAGACACGCACATCCGCAGGTCCATGATCCTCAGTGTACTGTCTTTGGTGTGGATTAACAAACGCTTTCCATTGGGATGAACCTCCAGATAACTTATGGGAACTCCCCTGAATTCAGTTTCCTTAATTTCCTAAAATAGAACAACAACAACAACAACAAAAAGTCAAACTTGCTACTGAGGTATTTCTGTCACAGCGTTCACAGGGACAAGTGAATTTTGAAATGTCATCTGCAGGGGAGAAGTGCGTCACTCACATAAGCCAGCACCTGGAAGGCAGAGGCAAGAGGACTGCCCTGGGTGCGAGGCCACGGCAGGTCAGGCTGCCCTGAGCTGCAGCAGAAGAGCCTTTCTCAACAAAAGAAAAGACAATTAAGACATGACCCAAAAGATTTCAACTTCACTGTATTGACTACTTTACAGTTATTAGCAGCAAGAATTTTTAGCATCTTGAATTTAGATTTAAAAAATAAAAACGGCAAACTGTATTTTTGTATTATGTAATATTTTAGTTAATTATGTGTTTTGTTATTCACTTTCTCAAAATATAGTCAGTCCTAAAAAACAATTTCACATACATCTTCTCACACTGCCTTTTCTGTTTATATCACATAGGAAAAACTTCGATATTTTATAAACTCAAAACTTGCATGGTAAGCCAGATTCTCTCCCCACAAACATCTACTTGCCATAAGAAGGTGTGTCACAGGCATAATGTTTGCACCATGTGACTTGGATTAAGATCATTTTTGCAGTTTGACTCCACCCCTCCTTCCTCCCTCTCTTCCAGCTATCTGCAGTGACTAGTGGAGAGAGCCAATTCTCAGTGCCTTGAAGACAGCACCCCTGAAGAACCAATCTGCCGGAGCCTTGTGTGACAACTGCCCTCACACAACACGGTAAAATCAGCTTATGGTGCACAAAACATACACAGGTAAGACCAGAAGCTAGAAGGCTGTCAGCACCCGAGGGAAAGCTGTTGAGCACTTTTGGGGGCGGAGGGGGTGTTTAAAGAGTCAACGCTGAAAACTTAGGCCACAGAAGTCTACACAAACGGGACTCCACTGCACTAAAAAAGCAGCTGCACTGTAAAATAAGCGACAGCACACAGGGTACAGCATACACACTTGGAGAATAATCTGCAAGTCATCTACCTGAGAAGAGATTAATCGCTAATGCATAAACTCAGGATCAGGAAAACAAATAATTTGGATAAAAATAATGGGCAAAAGACTGAATAGACATATCTCCACAAAGGACATAAAAAGGCTGAAAATACAGGAACAGATGTTCAACATCATCCAGCATTAAAGAAATGCATCCATTCATCCCCCAGGTCTTCTCTCTTCTTCTAGTATTATTAATCCCCACAAAACAAAAAGATTTTCATTTGCCACAACATGGATGAGCCTGGAAGACATGCTGAATAAGTCAGACACCACAGGAAAAACACTGCAAATACTTCAGTCTCACTTATGCGGAATCTAAGAATCAAATGCATCAGAAACTGAGTTGTGGAGAGCAGGAAGCTTCAGGTCAGAGCACACTGTAGGCGGCAGCTGCGGCCATTCAGTCGCAACGCAAAGTCATGAAATTGTACTGAATCATGCAATGTGTATACATAGCTTCTCTTGTCACAAAAAAAGGGCAGTGTAATCTGATGGTTCGTTACTTTGATTCACTATCGTAAGGAACAATTTACTAAATATGTGTACTCTCATAACCATCCTATAACCTTTAATGTACATGATTTAAAAAACTTAAAAATGATAGAGCTATAACTCCCCACACAACTTTGGCTAAGGTCCAGAGTCTAAGAAAAATCCCTTAAGCTGCAGCAAGGATTCTCAGTTAGCTTTCTTCTCACCAAGATCCACCAACTCTTCCCAAATGCTACAGAAAACAGGGAATGTTGACGCCACAGCCAGCGTTTAAAGAACTCAACCACAGCAAGTCTGAGATGGAAAGGTGCTGAAGGAGGTCTGAGAAGAGATGAAAAAGGGCAGGTCAGAAACTATGAGGGGCCAGTGCAGGTACAAATCTGAGAAGCCAATGTACGGCGGAGTGCAGCCGTCTAGTGGTTCCTTCTGCTACCGTTTCTGCACTGTGACCACACTCAGACTAAGAGCCCTTGCTCTGCAGTCAGTGTGATGCAGGAGGGCACATGTGTGAGTCTGCACATGGCAGACCAGTGCCTCTCAGAGCTCCCCACGCAGTCTCTAGCTTCCCACGTACACTCACTACTGAAAAGACACGGCACCTCACTTCCTGACTCAACTGTTAACTGTTGCACATAACATCAAGATTTTCACAATATTAAGGCAAAAACCACAAGAAGTACATAGCCAATAACCAATTCTACACTGTACATTCGAATCACTGAAAGTGAGGCCTTTACTGACTTAGCACTATATCAGGTGTTTGTGTAATGAGAGTACTCTTCTCTAGAAGTAATGTATGGGACGAGGCCCATGACGAATCTTAAGGTGTTATCTGTCGGCCCACAGGCCAGGGGGAATAACCAAAGACAGAGGTTTCTGGATGGACTTGCCTGAAAGTCAGAGAACTCTTTGTTTTTTCTCTCTCTCTTAAGGTATCTTTATTCAAACAAGAAGAAATATATTGTCAAAATTCATTAGGAAAAATTAAAAAATATGTAACATGCAAACACTACAATAACCTAACACAAAATGCAAGTTCACCTTTACCAATTCATTTATATTTTTTACTACAAAAATAAAACTAACAAAATTGCTTATAGACCATAATACTCTTTCCCAAAAGGAATGCATTTCCTTATTTGTTTTTCTCAGGAACACATTTTCTTATTTATTTCTATTATTAGCAAATTTCAAATATTGTGACTAAACAACCACTATCACTGCTCTGAAACAAAGCACTGATACTATTTTTAGTGACTGCTACACTGAGGAGAACATACAGGGTACAAACATACAGGCTACAGAAAATTAGCTGTCAGCTACAGGTGGTAACAGGATCTATCTGTTATTTTAACGTGAATTTCAGCTAATGCTATGCTGCAAATTGGACCTCAAAAGACTACAAATGGGACGAGGTTGTAGGTTAGTGGGAGAGTCATTACCTAGAATGTACCAGTACCTGAGAGTAAAGAGTACAATGTGGCCAAAATGAAAACTTTAGGTTGCTATCAATCACTATCAGAAAGATGTGACTGCGAATCAATGTCTACTGACTTTAGTTACCGGGAAGATGTGATGGCTGGCTTTTGGACTGAGAGAAGCTTAACTTTTCTTTTTTTTAATTTTTAAAAAATTTATTACAATTTATTCACTTTGTATCCCAGCTATAGCCCCCTCCCCCATCTCCTCCTAATCCTGCCCTCCCTCTCTCTTCTCCCAAGCCCCTTCCCCAGTCTACTGATAGGGGAGGTTCTCCTTCCCTTCCCTCTGACCCTAGCCTATCAGGTCTCATCAGGACTGGCTGCATTGTCTTCCTCTGTGGCCTGGTAAGGCTGCTCCCCACTCAGGGGAAGGCAGTCAAAGAGCTAGCCATTGAGTTCATGTCAGAGACAGTCCCTGTTTCCCATACTAGGGAACCCATTTGGAGACTGAGCTGCCATGGGCTACATCTGTGCAGGGGTTCTAGGTTATCTCCATGCATGGTCCTTGGTTGGAGTATCAGTCTCAGAAAAGACCCCTGGGCCCAGATATTTTGGTTCTGTTGCTCTCCTTGTGGAGCTCCTATCTTCTCCAGGTCTTTCTATTTCCCCCTTCTTTCATAAGATTCCCTGCCCTCTACCCAAAGTTTGGCTATGAGTCTCAGCATCTACTTTGATACCCTGCTGGGTAGAGTCTTTCAGAGGCCCTTTGTGGTAGGCTCCTGTCCTGTTCCCTGTTTTCTCCCTCTTCTGATGTCTATCCCGTTTGCCTTTCTGAATGAGGATTGATCCAGGGTCCTCCTTCTTGCTTAGCTTCTTTAGGTGAACAAATTTTAGTATGATTATCCTATATTATATGTCTAATATCCACTTACAAGGACAGACTACAATGTCTTTATGTCTTTAACAGTCCTGCGGTCGAGTCTCCTGCAATCTACCTCGTGAAGCCTCAACGTTATGAGCTATGGTTCTGTACCTTATTTATCGTCCAGTGGCGCACAGAGTGCTGCAAGTCCGTGACTTTCACATAAGTGTCCCAAACAACAATGACACCGATGCAGTCTCCTGAGTACATGTGGTAACCTATTCAAAACAGCAAACTACTAAGATTATCACAGAACTTATAAAAAAAAATGGGAAATTTTATAAAGTTAGGGGAAGCCACAACCCAGACAAACAGTCAAAGCACTGAGTTGCCAATGAAAGAGTTCTCAGTTTAAAAGTTAAAAAGCAAAATGCAGCTCACAATATAATCCCAACTGTCTTTAAGTAAATTCTTCATTTTTAAAAAGCATTTTTATAACCTTTCCCTTTGTCACTAATATGACTCCGAATGCAAAAGGAAATGAGTGATGTAGTCTGTATGTATAGCACTCATATTCCAGATTATCTGAAGTATCTAACATGCATCTGTGTTTATTATTATTAGCATATACAATCATTTATATTCCTAGTAAAATACCTGTTCTAATATACACTGTAAACATAACCATAGTGACCTTAAATTTAAAATAATCAGATAATTAAAAAAAATCACAAGTAACAAGTGTTAATATCAGTTTTTAAAACCTGAATGGGACCCAGATGACACAGGTTCAACCTCGGAGACATGCAGGAACACATTTTATACCATTGCTAAGAAATATGGCCTTTTAAAACCATGAATTTAACAATTTACAAAAATTTATTCAACCGTTGAACACTGCCATGTATTATACTGCTTTTTCTAATTCCAACCAAAGACAAAAAATGTCCTTAAGTATTAGAATCTCTAAAGTTGAACTAAGTATATTGCATTATCATTATTTTCTCTGAATATTATTTTAGTTACTTATAGCTACAGTTGTCATGTCTAATCTCTGAGATAATATAAAAATGACATCTTAATAGATAGGTTTCCTTAGTCTGTGATCCAATAAAAACCTATGTTTTGTTTTAAAATGTCATTTATATTATTCAAATGCTGAGAATCTTTAATAATTTGCAAATTACCTTCGATGTGTGTTTAAAAAACCCTGTCAATGTATTCAGCATACGTGATTACACCACTCTTTGGGATTTCCCCCATCTCTTTTATTCTGTACCATCTAACTTAAATTGTTCTTCAGGGCAATTACTAAGAATAATAATCACCAACAAGAATAAACATATTCACGAAATGCAGTGCATGAACGGTGTTTAGAACAAAGGTAACAGAATATAAAACTACAAGCTTAAGAGACAGACTGCCTCCAATGTCAGACCTATCCCGTTACATGAAACTATGAATAACTTTAAATGTGCACAACTGTTAATACAGCAAATGTCTCCAGCATCAACAACTATAAGTGAAAGAAAGAAATCAGTTCTTCAAGCAGCCACCCTTGATCAGAGCACTCCTGTGACATACCTTCCTCATCAAAGCAGACAGAGTTGACAAAACTCTTGTGCGTGTCAAGCTGGCGGACTAACAGGGCAGCATCTTCTCTCACGTCAATCTTCCACACCCGTATCACAGAGTCATAGCATCCTGTGACCACCAGCTCCTGTGTGGCTGGATGGAACTTGGCTGTGTAGACAAAAGAAGGATGCGGCAGGACTCTGAACGTACTCGTACTGTTTATCTCATTCTTCCAAACCCTGGGGAAGAACAGGAGGGAGCAAACTGCTTAAAATACAAACTTTTCTCTAACTGTTTTTAGAAGAATATAGCCTACAAATCTTCAGAAAGCAAATGCCAAACACTGGTAGGCTAATGTTAATCTGTATTTATAAAAATGTGATAATGATCACATACTGTGTGGTCGAATTATTATTTTTTTTAACAAAGCCACTTCTCATGAAATATATTTTCACCTATAACTGTAACCTATACTGTAATATTAACTTTTTTGTGTTTGGACATCATCTACTTTTAACGCTATTTTGACATCGAGTAGACACACACTAGATAGCTGCTAAAGTACCATTTAGCACATTAACAAGCACATTAAGAAGTAGTGAAGAAGGCTGAGAGGCACTCAGGCTGAGCGCACTGCTCCTCCTGCAGAAGACCCAGGCTCCCAGAACCCACAGGGTAGTTCATAACCATCTGTATCCCAGTTATGTAAGACACCCTCTTCTGACCTCAGCAGGCCCTGGGCCTGCATGTGCACATACATTTAGGCAAAACATTCAAACACATAATTAAATAAATGCATGCATAGATAAATAATTTTAAAAGACAGGAAGAAACTTTTAATGATTTTTTTAAATGAGGTTGTATGTACTAATTCTGAAAGTGGAGGCCAAGCGAATTAGAGCCCAGTAACGTTTTAATTTGCATTTCAAAGCCAAAATAATATACATGTACATCCTAAACACTTAAACATCATAATTAAATAAGTGATTTCCTTTTTAAAAATTATATGTGTCTGTGCCCATGTGCACACATGGAGAGACCAGAGCTTGACCTAGATGTCTTGCTCAGTCATTTCTGAACCTTATTTTTTGAAACTGAAGCTCAGTGACTGGCAGAACAGGTTGTCCTGAGAGCTCCAGGGATCCTTCTGCCTCCTGTTGTCACTGGCATGCACTGCTGTGCCCAGCTTCTGTGTACAGGCCCTGGGGACCTGAGGTCCTTGTGCTTGCACTTTTATGCAACACTTTATCAACTGCCCCATGTCCTACCCCGTGTGATTAAAATGATGATGGTATGCTGGCAGAGGACAAGCTCTCACATAATGGCACTGTCTCTGTGCTTGCCACTTCATTTCCCTGCAATGCTGAGTGTGCACACAGATCAATGGAGAGTACCTCCATGATACAAGTCCCTAGGTAGAATTAGGGCATTATAGGAAAAGAATACATTTGAAATGGAAATTTATACCGATTTTAAGACTTATGTATCAAGTTATAAACAAAGAAAAAAATTACAATTAGCTATTTCCTAGAGACATTTTGAGTTTTCTCAGAAGCTTATTAAAATACATACCTAATTGTAGAAACTAATAATGAAGGGATGAAAGAATGTTCTCAGGTGAATTAAAGCATATGTGTTATTGTCAAAACATTAGACCAATTTCAATGTATATATGCTACCTGAGATAGAATTAAGACAAAAATAACAAAATTGCTAATTTGAAGGGAGTATTATGATAGTTAAAAGGTAAAATCCTCAGTTGATTGCTAATAAATCTTAGTGTCATTTTTGAAATACTATACATAACAATGAAATGAAGACCTTCAAACTGACTCCACACAGTATTGTGTATATGTATTTAAATGAAGTGTTTGTGGGAAAACTGAACGTCTTCTTTCACTTTTAAAGGGCACACTCCAACATCAAAGGAAGTGTATTAATGGTTTGAAAACTGTTCATAAAAAACAGAGAGATAAAGTTATTAAAGAGTAAATGAAACACAAAATGTCCTTAGACTTGGGAAAGAAAAAAAACACATACTGAAAAAGTTAAAACAGTACTGTAAACTAGGATGTAACTGAGGACATCTGGGCCTCCTGCAGAGACATTGCATGCAGTTTTGTCTCTCCAACTGTATTACAACCTGTTGATCTTAGAGGACCAGACTATGCAGGAAGCAAGCAAAGGAGAAAGGAAGCCAAAGCCATGAGCAAGGAGCTAGCTGGTCAAAACCAGGAAAACAGGAAGAACTAATGAAGACACGTGGAAGTGATTTCAGAAAAGCAGAAGTCAGAGGCGGAAAATCCACAAAGCTGCTGCTGTGAGCAGCATCAGCCCTGCCTGCTTCCTTCCGGCTACAACTTACTCATTACTAAAATTCTCCTGTTTCTTCCAAGGGCCTCTTTGTCCTGTAGTTTTAGTTTTCTCTTCATTCATCCATGGTCTTCACAAAACTCTGTATGATATATAAAGCTCAAATTTGTGTCAATTTTAAAGCTACTTAGAGGAAACCACAGTGTACAATATATTATACATGAATACCTAGAGTGGCTCCAAGAAACGATAAATATGAGTTGGTTCTAATATTACATTTATTTTGTGTGTGCACACCAGTGTATGTGCATGCCTGTGTATGCATGTGTGTGTGTGTGTGTGTGTGTGTGTGTGTGTGCATGCATGTGTGGCTACACAGGTGCCACTGTGCACACGTGAAGGTAAGGATGGGTTGTGCCTGTACGTTATCGCCTTCCACTCTGTGGACCCAGATGTCTCAGGGTTTCAGGCTTAGCTGTCTTCACCTGATAAACCACTTCACCACCACTCTGGGTTGGCTTTTAACTGACTGACTAGCCCATGCTCACACTGCGTGGTTGACAGTGATGGACACATATAAAGATGGGTCAATTTCTAGACATGAAAACGAGCCACATGTCCAGTAAAATTTTATCATAAATTGAAGTCAGTAAATAAGAGATGAAAGATGATGAAGTGGGTACTTTGAAGGTCTGGATCTGCTGCTACTGGATGGGAAGAGGGAAGTGAAAGCCTGAAAGATGGCTCAGCAGGGTGACTTAAGACTTCAAAACCCACAGTCGCATCTCAGCAAACCTAGGCTTTTTTCTGTAGCACTGAGAGAATGTCTGTGCTGAAAGAATATGCCGGATAATAACCTTAGTACATTTATGAAAGTAAACTAAAGAATGGTGATCTAATGATCAATCTTTATTTTACATGGGAAGGGAAGGTGATACAACTAGCAGCAGAGAGGGACTAGGCATTAGAAATCACATGAACAGCAAGAACAGGAGGAGAGAAAGTAAGTGAGAATGAAGTTAGTGCGGGTCTCAAAATGACTGCAGTAAATTTTCCAGGTTGTAGAGAATGCTGTGTCTACTTAACCTATATGACACAGGTAGAAGCATCATTAAAAATGTTTATTTTATCATGTTTTGTTATATTTCAAATATCATGAACAAACAAGCAGCTAAAAGATGTAAATAAAATTAAAAAATTGGCTTTTAAAAATGTTATTGAGCCATGTGCATTGGCCACGCCTGTAAGCCCTGAATACTGGAGGATGAGGCAGAAAGAGTGCACACTGAGTCAGTCTGGACTACAAGGAAGACTGTGGAAAAATTTAAGAAGCAGACAATCTGTAAACTGTTTTACTGTGATACATATTAAATTGAAAGGGGATAACTTAAGACTGCCTTCGTGAAAATGCAAATATTTAACAGTCTACAAAGCTCTAAGGTGCTTAACTGAGTCATCCACTTGGTGTACACCTACCTACTGAACACCAACGGTTCACATCTAACCTCCAGACAGAATGTACACTCACAGTATAGTGCGCACAAATCTCAAACATTTAACCTTTTGTAAGATACTAATTAGCAGTTTATGTATAATCACTTAAAAGCACCAAGGGCCAGGAATTACACACATTACACAAATGACAGACAGTCAAGGGAACTGCCGTCGGGTTCTGCTGCTTTTCATCCAGTCAGCATGCACAGGGCCCAGCATCACAGACTTACACTCACCTGGCAGTGCCGTCAGATGATGAGGTAACCAGGTAGCGATCATCTTTTGACCAGTCAAGGTCATAAATGATATTGAGGTGGCCACACAACTCTCTCATGAAACGTCCAGAAGGAATTTCATATACTGATAAAAATATTTAGAAATTAAATTTCTAGATCTTTAATTCAGCAGGTATATAAACACACAACTTATACTAATTTAGACAAAAATTAAGCACTATCTGAAAAAATAAAACCAAAAATATTTGCAATATTAACAGTTTCAAAATATACTCAAGAACTGTTTCATCTGCTTTAATTCCAAGAGTTTACACAAAATTTTATATGTGCTAAAATTTGACAATATTCTATCAATTATTCACATTGCTCAAACTCCAAAGAACTTCTTCTGATAATCAAAAAAAAAAAAAAAAAAAAAAAAAAACATTTACATTGCAATTCACTTTAAATACTTTACAACTTGGGATTTCATGAATAAGGTATTACTTTCCTCTAAAATCACGTAAATTTCAAATATTTGTGGATATAATGAGAAATGTAAACTATTCTACTGTCAGAAAACAATTCTAATAGTAAAATGATAGAGAGCATAATGGAATCAGCGGAGAATCAGCCAGACAGACAAAACAAGGTGTTGTTAACCTAAGGAAGGCTAAGTTAATGTGGACATGTGTGAGTCTCCACTCCCACCTAGTGGTGAAATCAACCACCTTCTAACTACTAAGCAGTTCAGAACAGAGAGCAAAGGACTCTGGGAAATTACTCCCCTATAAAAGGAAAGAGAAAACTGGCAAGAATTCTCAAAACAATGTGATAGAATTCTGAGAATTAACTCCCAAAGCCTGGGAGGGCTGGGGCAGGACTTATGTGAGACAAGGGCTGAGTCTCAACAGGAATACTGAGCTTTGTGCTGTTACAACTACCTAATTCCTCCTTCCTACACACTGAAGCAAGCACAAAAACAATCAACAGCAGAAGCCTAGAAGCCACACAGTGACACAGAACAGGTCAGGGGCTCCCTAAAGATTCCAGCCCCAAAGACCTTTCCCTGTTTGATGCCATGATAGATCCAGAATAGGCCCTGAGGCTCACCCAGCACAGCCTTGCACAGGCTTTAAGCAAGCATCTGATTCTAGCTTGTATTTTAAAACAATCAGTGGCATCATGTGACATTATGGCTGCTTAAAAGGGCGGTACCAGCTGGGATAAGAAGTTGTTTACTCACAGAACACAAAATAAAAACAAACAGAACCTGTGTTATGGGGAACTATAGACAGCTTCAAAATATAGCTAAGAATCGAGGTTCCTCACACGTAAATGTAAAGCCAATGTGCATAACCAAGAAAAACCTGAAAGGCTTTATTTCCGTGTGGGTGACCTGAAGAGGCTCAGAACAAACAGGAAGTGAAGGCTCAGAGAGTTCTAAACAGTGAGCTGATGCACGGAGAATATTCCAGAGTAGTGCTGCCTGGCAAAGGGCATCATTAGAGCTGTGCAGAACTAACATCAGCCAGCTGACTACACAGTCTACAAAAGCTTGATAACACAGCAGACAATAAAGACGCTACAGACTCGTCCAGGGGACTCACTGAACAGCCAGAAGCAACAACAAAACTTAGGTGGCTGATGGGAGACCAAGGGAAACAGAGCTATACTGCACTATATTTCTTCAAATACCCAGGTTTCAGTGTAAAGTTGTCATGTAAAAAGACATACAAACAGGAAACTAGAGCTTCACACAGGAAGAAAAGTCAGTTATCAGAAACTGTCCATATGGAAACTGAGGAAGCCCAGTTCTGATTGTTCCCTGCAAGATCATTAACCTTTCATTTATCAGTCTGGTCCCCTAAAGAATCCTAAAATTAAAACAGAAGAATGGCTCCTCCCCTCCCCTCCTGAAGCATCTATAAATAAGTGAAAATGTTAAGAATGAACTCAAAAGAAGCTTTAGAGGTGAAGTGCATAATCACTAAGATAAAGAACTCAGGAGAATGGCTCAACAGCAGACTTGCAGAGGAACCGCTGAACTTGATGATAGCCACCTGAGGCTACCCAATCTGAGGAACAGAAAAAGAATGAAGAAAAATGAGTGAGCATCAGAGATCTACTGAACAACACTAAGTCACAGAGTGATCCCAGAAGAAAGAGAAAGGGAGCAAACAGAACATCTGAAAAATAATATTTTCAAAATTTATGAAAGGCATTAATCTGCACACGGAGTAAGGTGAACTCTAAGTCAGACATCCCATAATCAAATGGTGCAAAGCCAGACACAATGATTCTTATTATAACTTTTGAGATTTGAATAATAAATAGATGTAAGTCAATAATTGTTTAAGTACAGAATAACATTTAGCATGACAAGTCTAAAGCACACAAACTGGAATGAGGGTTATCCTTTCATTACCCGAAAGAGGAAAGTGACTGTTGATGTCTGGGAACGCCATCAACACTGTGACTGGTGTGCGATGAGAAAGTCTAGCATGGCCCAGGGCTCAGGCACACGCCCAGAGGAGCCGGCTTCTTCTAGCCACAGAGAGTCAGTTTCATTACCAAGATAAAACAAATTACTAAGTCCAGACAGGAAGTGCTTTTAAAACCTCCCAGACTTCCCTATGGTAGCGGGAGCCTTCTCTGAGGTACTGCAGGATTACTTATTAGAATTCTAGCATAGGAGAAGTTGTTGCAGTCTGGTAATTCAGATCATCACAGCTTTTAACTAAAATCACAATGGACTAAGGTTTTCTTTTCCATGAGGTTTACTATTTCTTCCTATGCAGTAACTATCCCTTTATTTAAAGAAACCTGATTAATTTACTAAAGACTTCTTACATTAGTATTTCCAACAATGTAAAAAGCCAATATTGACTATACAGAAGATAACCAGGTTAAATAGGCAGCATTATTCCTCACATATAATCGGATATCCATCTCGGCTGGCACAAGCTGCTGCTAATATCCTTCCATTGTGGGAGAAACCAAGACAGAAACAACCTCGTTCTCCAGCGTTCAGTGAGAAGAGATGCTTGTTGGGGATACGGCAAGCCTAAAATGAATATATGAAACTATATAAATCAGAAAATATCAAAACAAAATGACCTGGTAATTTCCATTACCATAATCCCCCCTAAAGTTCTTCTATTGTAACAGAAAAAGAAACATGTACATAAAAAAAACTACAGAAAATTATTTTTTAGTACAGAATTAGTTTCTCATGAAATTAATATGTCTAGTTAGCACCTGATTAATCTAAAACACAAAGAAAGAATTTCAATATCTAATGCCCCAACACCATCCCAGCTGCACTGCTTTTACACAGCACAAAACGATGTTTTTCGCCTCCTTATTCCAGGACAGCAGCCACTTTTCCTAAAGTCAGAAACATTTGAAAGCTACACGTACTGCAAACGTCCTAGTTTAAATTCAGGATTTATGAATGGTTATTCTCAGTTTTCCTCTCCTAAAATAACCATCCATATTGTCATCTCCAAGGCAGAGCACAGTCCTCTGACTTAGCCTCAGTTTTGCTTTCTGTGGTTTCAGTTATTTATAGTCACAAGGGCCTGAAAATACTGTGAGAAATTCTGAAATACACAATTCCTAAGTTTAAAATGTGTTCCATCTAAGCAATGTGCTGGAATTCTGCCATCCCACATCCTACTGTGGGCACGAGTGATCTCTGTTCACTGCACGATGTCATGTCCTTTAACGCCCATTAGTACTCAGCAGTCGACAGTTATCAGACTGTCATGACACTGCAGGGCCTGTGCACAGTGAACCCTATTTTCACTCACGGCACCAAGCGTGATGGCAGTGGTGCAGCCCACGCAAATATCCCACCTATAAACTGCTTCCTTTAACTGTACGGGTGAGACGGCCTAGCTCCCCAGTTAGTCAGAGGCTAAAGTAAGGGCACTCTGGGTCCTAACTGTGTATCATGATGCTGCACCTCACTACAAATGTCTTTAAACGTATTCATCACAATAGCCCTGGGGCCAGTTACTGTGAGCTGACAATAAATATAATTAACTAAATAGAGCTAATAAGGATTATTCAGAATGTCAAGCCAAGCTTACTGGAGGAAGGAAGGTTGAGCCAAGTAAGCCTTTCCTTCAACTGCTTTTCTCTGGCTTTTTGTCGCAGCGATGTCAAACCAGCAACTGCAGTGTCACTAACAGCTCACCTGGCCAGGCAGACGTTTCCACTTGACTGTCTCCTTTGAGTCCTCTAGACCGGGCTCTGTGTCCACTGAACTTGTCTCCCGGTGGTGCTCACAATACAGTGGAGTACCCCTTTCCTCCTGAAGGGCCATCGTAGAGCGGTAAGATGGCTTTATCTAAAGGTGTGGAAAATGAGAAAGTGCACATCAGGACAACTGTCAAAGCAAGCATGTACACAAACAGCACAAGCCACGCTGCTCTTGTGAAGGTCAAGCTGTGGCAGCTATTCACTCCCTCCTCCCCTGGGGATCCCTGGGGGAACAAGAGGAGGCCAGGAGGCTTGTCCACAAGTTGTTTTTAGTCTTAACATAAATTGTTTTTAAAATACTGAGATAGAACCTGGCGTGGTGGCACACACCTTCAATCCCAGCACTTGGGAGACAGAGGCAGGTGGAACTCTGTGAGTGTGAGGCCAGCCTGATCTAGAGAGTGAGTTCCAGAACAGGTAGAGCTATAGTGAAACCCTGTCTTGAATAAAAACAAACAAAAAAACCCAATTAAAATACTGAAACAAATGGTATAGAAATCTTTTTGAAACACAAGCCAGAATTTTTTTCATTTGTATATTACTCTAAATGAAAAAAAAAAAAAAAGTTATTTGAACTATGTTCCTATAGTCACAAAGCTGTAAAAGTTTGGATGAAAAACAGTAGACTCCATTGTGAATGATGGCTTTACTTATTTGTTTTTGTTTTTGAGACAATGCTTCATACAGTTTAGCCTGCCTCAAACTTGCTATGTATTTGAAGTGGCCTTGCATTCTATATTCCTCTTCCCATGTGCTGGGATTACAGGTTTGGACCCACACTCAGATGCATAATTTGATAGTTCTGTCACCTGGTGTCTGCTTCTTTATAAATGCCTACCCAGTGTTATACCATGCCTCTGATATAACATGATATTGCTGGCTTAAAAACAATCAGAAGTCTAATATAAAAAAAATCTGAAATTAGAAAAAAAAAAACCTATTCTTTGATAGATTTTATGTTAGTCCATTTAGACCAATGCAAATCAACTCTGTGCTCACAGCATGCAAAATCAGCTGTAGAATGTGCAACGCACCTGAAAGACTAATATAAAAAAGACAACAGCAAAATATTTTTATTTTAGAATAATTTATGATGAGATCATTAATGTTTACCTATAGAAAATAACAGTAGAAATGTTACTTTCTGGTTATCTGAATACCTCTCGTGTGAAATATATAAATCAGAGGTCTGCAAAATACAACTCATTATGAAATTTGGTTTACTACCTTGTTTCTGTAAATAAACATGTACGCGACACATTAAGGCATTCCTTATTGTGTAAATTCTCTACAGCTATTATCACACTGTAAGAGTGAGTAGTTGTGACACACAGAACCTGGCTGCAAAGCCTAAAACATTTTATTTTTTGCCTTTTATAAGAAAAGGTTTCCCAGCACCAACTTTTCATCCTTTTATTTTTAACTATAATACAAAATTATGCCAAAGTGGTTTTCTTAACAGTGAAGTCTAATTTTTACAACTTAAAGTTCATCTAACTATTAACTGTTACAGACTCAATACATAGTCTTTGCAGGCATCTTCCCAGTTCAAAAATCTGTTAAAACAATGCTGAGAGCTTAGCTTTTAAATGTGGAAAATACATTACGTCGCCCTTAGTTTACTATTAACTTACGCAGTCCGGAACTTTCAAGCCTCGCACAGTCACATACAGTGTTGACGGGTAACGATTTCTCGGACACTTGGCCCACCATTCAAATACCTCGACAACATCTGACTGGGGCCGCGGCTTAGAGGGCGGGCAGTAGAGCTGCAGACGAAGTTTTGAATTGATGTTTGCATTCCCATTGGCTCCTAGAAGCTTGAAATAAGAATTGGCGTAAATTAGTATCTTCTCTAATCTAATCAAGCTGTCCCTGTCCCCATGAAGGGTAACAGATTGTTTGCCATTCTTTAATATCAAGTGTCTTCTCCTTCACTGTCCTGTAAGCTTTACAAACTCACTGCTCATTTCTTTTGGATCAGTTTTAGTTTATATTTCACATAGGCTGCTCTGCGCGCCCCCCCCCCTCTCACACACACACACATGCTTGCATTAAATTTATCACATAATTTCCTTGGATTTTCTCAAGATCACTGTCTCCCAGCACATACAAATACACATACACAAACATGCCTACTGAAGGATTTACTAAAATGAGTGGAAAGTGATTGGGATAAACTTAAACTCTAACAACATGACATGAAACAAGTTAAAGTGTAAATGTCTCACTATTTATACTGCTGGATTCAGCAATATCTAGTTTCTGCAATGGTCCATAAACTGCATGTTAATTTTTATTTGTGCCTTTGGTCTCAGGTACTTTCAATTCATCTAGCCTATATTTGTAACTGTTTTAAGCCATAAAATAATGAACCTGTATATCAGAGCTAGCTCTACATTATATAATTTATAGTCATGATATGCTCATTATGGATTTCTTAGCAGGAATTGTTTACTTGGATGAACAGCATGCTGGCATTAACTATATTGTCTGGAGAATATTAAGACAACTTTAAAAAGTATGATTTGGGAGCTGGGGGATACTTAAGAATCTCTGTGGGGTGCGTTGGGCTATGGGAGAAGGCCTCTGCAGAGTATGGATGCTAGAACTCAGTCTTAAACTGTTCTTTCCCAGCCAGTTCAGCAGAATCCCCTAAGCTCATGAACTCCATGGTCTTTCCATCCTTCCCAGAGCTGGAGGGAATGAGCTGTGGACTCCAGGTCTTTCCATTCTTCTTGGAGCTGGAGGGAATGGGCTGTATTCGCCATGTGTGCTTCCTTGTTGATAGACCTCAAACAGGCCACAGTCTGGATTTTGCCTCTGCCATTAAAACTTCTCCAACCCAATCACTGAATTTTTTTCTGCTTGCCACTTGCTTTTTTGTCACACTTTCAACATTAATAGGGTGTCCTCGTGACACCCCGCTGCGTCTGCTGCCTTGGCAACTCCTCATGTCCTTAGTCCACCCCGTCCTTCAAGATCGTTCCCGCCTCTTTAATGCAGCTCCAGCTCGCAGTTTCTTCTTTAATTCACTTTTGATTGTATTTGTGAACGCAATTCCTTACTGAACATTTCAGCTTAGAATATCCTGCCAAATCTCTTACCCCTTCTCCTGTCTCTTAGTTTTCTTCATATTGTCTGCCCAGTCTCATGAGCTTATAACCATAACACACAACAGGTTTTCCAATTAATTGAAATTAAGTATGACTAAAAATTCACTTTTATAGTTTCAACAACCACACTTAAGGACTTCACAGTCCCCATGTGTTAGCACAGGTGTAGGGCATCGTGAGAAAATGTTTTCAAAGTTATTCATCAAAATTATCTCAAAGTGCCTAATCCCATACGTTGATCTGTCTTTTTCCTTATAAATCTAAAGAATTTCAACCTACTGCTTCAATCTTTTAAAACCTACCATCTTCTAACAATGGTTCAATACGGATAAATTAAAATCTGTTTTATTTTTAAAAAATAAAATGTTGTGACATCTATTGTATTCTAACTGTAGCTTATGACTCATACAGTGGGTCTTTACAACCCTTAACAAAGAATAAATATGAGCAGTTCCTAATAAACTGAGTTTTGTTTACATATTATATTAGGCATTGCTCTTAAACCTTAACAATGGCTCAGATGGCCCCAATGCTCACATTATGAGATTCAGAGCTGCTGACTGAACAATGGCCGACACACTGAAAGGCTAAATAAGCATCTCATAAATTGAACACAGACAGCAGGAATACATGCAGCTTTTTTACAATATCCTCAGGCTCAGAGAGTATAAACGGTAAACTCTGAGAAATCAATAAGTATTTTAGACTCTTAATAAGCCTCACTAAGACTTAACATCTCTTTGAGACAGAAACAGCTTGCTGGAAAACAGCAATCAAACCTAGAAAAGATAATTTTAAATGTGTTAAAAAACAAAACAAAACAAAAAACAAAAAACACAGGTGAAAAGATACCTTAAGAAATGCCCAGGCAATTTTCCGAAAGCCACATTCCTGGTTTTTAACCTCGGAGTTATTCTTAATTTCATCCATGCTTAGAAAGTCAAGAATCTGTAAATACATTTTAAAAATTGACAGAATAACAGACTATCTAAATTGTAATATTCTTTATTGATACTTCATCATCAAAATATTTAAAATTTCTACCTTATAAGGAATAAAAATATTTATCTCATTAACTTACTTTCAAGTTAATTATTTCATCCAATATTAAGGATTTATTTTTGATATTAATAAATCCTTTGATTAGGATTTATTTCAAAAGTGTTAACTACTTCAGACAGGAGCTTTACCTGTTAACCCAATTTTGATTCCTACATATTGTATAAACGTACTTAAATGTTACATTTTACCATATAAGTACACATGGTTTTGTCTTTTTAAAATTACCATAAATACATTCTAGACATAAATAAACACAGCATAGAAGCCTCAAGCTCTGATAATTTCCTAGATGTGAGAACATTTTTAAATGTTTATTTTAAAAATTTGGGATCCTATTTCTGAATCCTTATTTAGACAGGCCCCTGAAGTTAGACACCTTCCCTTTGGATATGCTCTAAAGGCTGCTCAAGGTTTTCTTATCTCCATCCTGCCTGGGTATTAAAGACCAAGCCTGTCTGAGGCTCTCACTCAGAACTTGATAATTCTTGATAATTCTGGAGACTGTGTAGGAACCACCTGTCTCTCTACCCTCCACTGCTACGACTAGAGACATAAACCTCGGGGCTTCAGGTTTAAGTGGGTCTTGGGAAGCTGGGCCGAGCTGTCCATGCTTCACTTCCTCACCCCAACATTTGTTTTACACAAATGTAATCTTTTCTGTGCATTCTTAAGTGCATGTATGGATGGAACTACAAATGCAATAGATACTGTTTACAACCAATTTTCATACAGAATGAAATGGTATTTATCTTTATGTCAGTATGTAAACATAAATATTATTTTAACAGCTACCTAAAAGTTCTGTAATCTCTTAAAGTAATCATAAAAAACACACGGATAAAGAGCAAATGGCAAGTTTCTATGACAAAGTTCCTTGAGATACATTAGATCCTTTGAAAAATAGCTGTATATAAATCACACATAACGTGTTCACATATATTGTGAATATATAGAAATGGTCACAAAAACGTCTCTGAAATGCATCATTAGCTCTGGCCACTGCAAGCCTCTTGCTCTTCTCATCTTGGAAGCCCCCAGCGTGGTTCTACTGAATGAGAGGCCTCTCTTCCCGCACAAGCTAGGGAAAAGGGCTGGGATACTCTAGGCCTGAGCTTCTGTGAGGAACACATTACCTACACAGACAACTGGCATAACTGGGAAAATCACTGCACCCCCAACCTAATATTCCTCTCAGTTAAAAACAAAACTAGAGCAAGGGAGCACAAAATCTACCACAGAGCTTCCTGACTGCTCACCCTTCGCTTCACATGTAGGAATTTCCTTATTGTCTTTATTATATTACAGTGTATTTGTTAACAGATCTGTGTGTACTCATCCCTTTTTCCAAGTGTACCTAAACTTCGGTTAATGACAGAGTTAATGACTTTGCTACTGTGAGAGAGATCATAACAGAGGATTACAGTCAAGTGCCTGGAATCATGACTTCAGCTCATAGCCATTGGGCCAATGTAAAAAGACATCCTAGAAAAGGATAATGACTTACTCAGCACATGTAAAGAGGTTAGCAAAATCACTTTTGTTCCTCTAGGGCTTCTCACTGGCTCCCACAGAGCACACTGCAAAACTAAGTTCTAGGTGTTCAATTCTTACATGATCGCATTACAAACTACTTCAACTTGTACAAATAAATACTTACTAAATTATTTTTTTCAATTCATACCTCAAAGAACAGGATGACTTTTGGACACTCATCAAACTCTTGAAGCAAATAGGAAAAATTTTCATTAAATATAATTTGTTCTTCCCACTCTGGAAGTCTTGATTTCAGCTTTTTGAAGTCATATGGCTGAGTCATAATAGGAAGAATGTAGTCCACATTTTGTGTTTCATAGTAAGATGAAACAGGGCGTTCACTGTGCAAAGACAAACTCTCCATTACTACAATTCATTTTATTTTTTTTAGAGGGTATCCCTGAAGAAAAAGTACAAACCACATAAAAGCAGCAGAAATAATAGTTATAATGGCACAAAAGCAAAAATAGTCTTCTTTACCATCCAAAAATTTTAAATTTTATAAAAAATTAAAACTAATGCTATCTTATTACATATTTCTTTGGATCACATAGTTTATTTTAACAATAGAAAGTGAAAGGTATGATTAACCTTTAATGTACAGAGCTAAAGCACCGGAACTCCTTCAGAAGGTTAAATGAGCTCATGATGAAACGTATAATAAACCCAAATAATAATGTAAAAGACCTGTTGTACCATCATATTTTCTTTGTCTTATTACCACAACTAAGTGGATGTGTCTTCTTCTGTAATAATCTTTCTTCTTAATGTATTTATTTTTTCACTTTACATTCTAGTTGTAGCCCCATCTCTCCTTCCCCCTCCCAGCCCCACTCCTTCTCCTTCTCTCTTCTCCCCTCACCTATTCCTCAGAAAAGGGGAGCTTCCTTTCCCATCCACCCCAGCTCATCAAACTTCTGTAATAATCTTAATGCTCTCCTCCCTCCCAACATCCTTTCAAGTAAACACTTTCTTTTAATTAGTGTAATATAGTATAACAATTTATTTTACTGCTTTTAAAACCTAGACTTTCAAATATGTAGTCTCTTTAGACACAACCTTAGGAAAAGACATACACATTTACAGCATCCCAGGCCCACCTAATACATCAATTCCAAAGGAAAAGTAGGAGGCGAATGGTTAGAACTCGTACCATATTTACAATGCAAACTCATGACCTAATTAGTAAGTCTCTTTATCCAAGATGGCTGCATTTCCTCCATTTTTCTGTAAAGCCTACTGATCAACCAAGGAATGCCTGCAGCTCTAAGACTGTTCTCGGACCCTAGTGCATAGCTCCACGCCTACTAACCTTCAGCTGCCAAGGGCAGCTGAGAGGATTTCTGCTGCAGACAGTTTCAACCTAAAGGTGGTATAATGTTTAAAATTACCTGTCATCTTTCTTGACATACTGACCGGTACGCTCATCAACCACGTGAATTTTTACCATTGGGTGAGAAATCATAAAATCCGATTTAAGCCGGTCAGTCCGGTGGATGTAGACTCCCATGACAAGATCATCATCAAGCAAACACTTGGGGTAGACTGGACTGTCTCGGCATGTTACCTCATGAACACCATCACCATCAGTGTCTTCATTACCAACCGGAACTAAAGCAGGGAAGGAAACTCAGTACAGTAACTGCTTTTCCAGTTAGGTTTACATAGAATCAATCTTACAAACAAGGATTGTCTTACACTGTTAATAAAAGCATAATTAAGATACACCAAGCATACCTTGACTTATTTTAAGTTATTTAGTTTTAAGAACTAAAGTTTTTAGAGTCAAATTATTCTACAAAGGTACATAATTTTCATTTAATTTGCGTAACAGACCTGCTTTAGTCTTCTTTTTGATCTTCTTGGGTTTGGGCTTTCTGTTCTCTGGTATACTGTCATCTGCATTCTGCTCCGTGGAGCATATGTCCTCATTGTGGTGAGATCCTGAAGTAACAGCTTCAACACGACATTCTTTCTCTTGTTCACCTTCAATTGCACTATCACAGGCGTCCAAGGTACTACAAATACAACCCGAGAATGAATCATTATAAATTATTTCTATGATTATTATTCATGGTATAACAAAGTCAATAGTAAACAAAAGCAAGATTAAAAATATCATTTTCCTTTTAAAAATACCACTATTTATTTTCATATAGACTCACAGACAATATATTATACCTGATGAAGAGTTAAGCATCTTAGGAGCCAACTTTAATATTAAACTCCACATAATAAGCTCAGCACTAAGCAGGCTCAGGCATGAGGACTACACATTTAAGGCTGGCCTTGCCTACAAATTGTGGTGCTCTCTAAAAACAAACAATGGTAAGTAAAATAACATTATACAGTTGTGGATATAAATTATATAGAATTTCAAATCATTCTCATTCTGCTGCTGAAAAAATGGTTAATGAATACATTTTTAAATTATTCAAAAGGTAAAAGAAAATTTCAGTGTTTGTTCTAAGAAATTTCAGCCATACAACTTTGAATTCTGGGTAAAAGTTCACTAGATTTGTTTTCTAGAGGTTGGTATAAGACTACATTTTTTAGAAGTGTTGATTAAAATAAAATTGTACCATATGCAAACAACAAGAGGAAGTGGCCAGGAACAGAAGCTATGCTAGAACAGTATGTTTATAATTTATGACATAAAATACCTTTAAAGAATAAAACTTGACTTCCAACATATTCAGTTCTCTTTTAAAAAAAGAGCACTGGGAAATAAGATTAGATGAGCACTTCATCATAGTTGTTCCTGAAAACCCTGCTATTAAAGAACAGCTGCCCTGCATGGCACCAGCATGCACTGCAGTCTGAGTCAAAGCAGCTCTTTCTGGCGAGACTGCCCATTTCCATGCTGGTGTGTATTGATCTACACTGCACTCCGGACAGCCCTGCTGACCTTGCTTCTTCATGTTCAGTTCTTTCCAGAAACTCCTGTGTGAGAAACAGCTGGGCCTCACCTCCCACTTCCAATAGGATATGGGGGAATGTTCGCCCTTTTTAGAGATTTGCTTCCGTCTGCTATTACTCTCTCGGAACCTTGAGCTGGGGAAGAAACTGCCACCTGGGTGAGATGTTGACAATGGATTGATCCATATGGCAAAGGCCATATGTCTGACTAAAGGCCACCTAGGCCCCGAGACCTGCCAGCGCCCATGATTACGCACAGAAGAGTTCTGAGGCCCACTAGGAAGAGCTGGGTGTTACTTGTTACATCTTTCCCTGGCAAGGCACCACCCTAGCTAGTGTCCTGACTGAAGCTTAGGAGACTCTATAACAGCCAAAGGTGCCCAGCCAAGTCATTCTCAAGCCTGAACAAAAGCAAGCGTGAGGCAACAAATGTCTGCTCTAGTAAGCTGCTAGGTTGTAGTTTAAGTTTTTTATTTTATTATTTTATTTTTTTGTGGGCTAACTTTTTAAAGCACCAACAGATAGGTAATCCTTATACTAACATATCCTTGAAGACTGGTCATCCAGATCATGGGATTTCTTTTTAGCTGAGAGCTCAAGAGGACTGCCAAAGGCTAGTCACATAAAGACTGGTGAAATAGCTGCCCAAATATAAGCTATTTATGCAAATGATGGTTGGAGGGGAAAGGGATTGTGCCATCTGGAAGACATTTTTAAAATCTCACTGCTTCTTATAAAGAGAGAAATTATAGATGTGAGTATAGTCTCAGGAATACTTAATACACATAAATATGTGTGTATATAAGTATGTATAAAATAGACTAAAATATTAAATTGCCAGTAGTTATTATCAATGATAATTGTTCTACAGTAAACAAATATTATCTGTATAAGGAAGAAAAATATAGATTAACCTAATTAATTAAAAAAAAAACTGTGTTTATGTTTGTGTGTATGTGCAGAGGCCTTCTGAGACAGGGTTTCTCCATGGTGCTCTGGTAGGCCTTGATTCCACTATGTGATGCAGGCTGGGCTTGAACTCAAGCTCACCCTGTCTTAGTGCCCAAGTGCTGGGATTACATGCATGAACCACCATGCTCAGCAGGCCTGATATTTCAAAAACAGTTCTCAGTGGGTAAATGCAGACACTTTGAAGGAGACTATCCATGTTCTGGCTCAGCCTCTTCCACCACTCAGCTTCTCAGAAGAAAGGGGACAAGGCCGCTGCTGTCCCTCCAGGGCTGTTGTAAAGGTTCTGAGTGAACTCTTGTAAAGATTCTAGCACACAGCAAGGACTGCATAAAGGTTGGCAAGCATCACTTCAGTGGCAATGTTTCCAAACACAGCACTAACTTTCTTTGCTAAATTCTAATTTGCACCCAGAACCTGAAGACACTAGAATATGGCTCTATTTGTCAGTGTGAAGTACCTTGTTTCAGGTTTTGATGGGACTGGCACTTTCTTCTTTTTCTTCTTCTTCTTTCTTTTATCACTGCCCAGTTTGTCATCATACAACAGACTATCTGAAGGAAAGTAAGTCAGCTGCTCCTTCAGTTTCTTTCTGATTTTCTTCTTGATCTCCTTGGCCATTTCCTCAGCTACCTGCAGCTGATACGTTTCCATCAGTTCTTCCTTCTCTTCTGCTTCAGCCTTTTCTCTTCCATCACCTGAGTCATCCCCCGGCTGTGACTTCCCTATGACTTTCTGCTCTGCAGAATCCGCCATGTCTGGAGTTTCTTGTTCCATTTCCTGCGTGGTCTGGATAACTTTTATTTGGCTTTTCTTGTTTGGCTTCCTCTACACTAATGCTGTTCCCCAAATCTTCAGCTGCTCATCATGTGCTCCCCAGCTCTCAGGCTCTTAGGGTTGATTCTAGGGTAGCCTGACAATTACTCTGAAGGTGGCAGGCTAGGAAAAGAACACATAACAAACGTTCACTTCAGCATAGTTTAAATCTTAAAGGTAAAAGTCTAAAAGGGAAGATCGATGCCCACCACTACCAAGACAATTAGCTCCTTCCTGCATAGAACTATACCTCTCCGGAGCATTTCATGAGCACTCCCAATTCACACCTGTAGATTTCGATCAGAACTCTCTAACAGTGATTTCAGATTAGGAGTTAGTTTGTTAAGTGTTCTTAATGTTCTTAAAACTTCTCAGAAATAAGTTATGTGCTCAGTTGCTATTTCCTCACTGGTAGAGTGATCCAAATTCTAATTTGTCTAAAATGTGTTTGAGAAAACTTATTAAAAAGCCATGGAGTATAAAACACTTCAAGTTTCCCAAGAAAAAACACACGAGTTATTAATATTGTCCATAATCATACACTAGAGCAATGGTTCTCAATCTTCCTAATGCTACAAACCCCTAATACAGTTCCTCATATTGTGATGAGTCCTCCAACCATAAAATTACTTTTGTTGCTACCTCATAATTATGCAACTGTTATGAGTAGACAGTAAATATCCAATATGCAGGATATCTGATATGCATCCCCTGTGAAGGGGCCATTTGATCCCCAAGGTGTCTGCAACCCACAGGTTGAGAACCACTGCTATGAAGCCAAGACTATACAGAAAAGCCGTCCTGTATTTTTCCCAGCCGTATCACTGAAATGCTAAATATTAACTAGAAAGTTAAATGATAAATTAATAAACACATACCTCTTTCTCACAATTATGTAAGAGAATTTTTAATAAGGCTATAATTCACCAAAGAATGTTACCAGTTAGAAAGTAAATTAGAGAAATTCTCTTAAAGAATTTTAAAAATAAGCAAGATTACAATGATAAGGTTATTCAGACATAAAAAAAAGAAATGTACAAGAAAATGGATAGACCTGAAGAACATACAAAATGAGTTAGCAGGCCCAGATGGACAAACACTGTGAATCCTCTCAATTGTGTAGGTCCTGGCTTTAAATGACTTAGATAGTGTGTGTTTTAAATGGAGCATTTGTAGAGGAGGGTGCAAGAAGGAAGCCATAGGGTGAGCAAAAGCGATAAGGATATAATGACATAAGTACAGAAGAGAAGACAGTAAACATACAGAATATTAAGTAAGGGGAAAATTCGAGACATGAAAAGGTTTAAGTGAAGATGAGAAAAAGATGGGGCTAGAGAAGAGAGTTAACAAAAACTAAGTCTATATGAAAAGGCCATATAGAGATGTACTATCTGGGCCCTAGAGAACAGGCTCATTCCACAACCAGTCTATTTTCTAATTGCCTTCTTCTTTTTTAATTTTTTGTTGACTCTTTGTGAGTTTTACATCATGCACCCCAGTACTGCTCACCTCTTTGTCACCTCATGTCCGCCCTTTGCCCTTGCAACCTACCCCCCAAAATATAAAACACACAAACAGATAAAAACAAAGCATAGAAAACATCTCATCATAGAAGCTGTAGTGTGTCACAGTGTATCCCATACTACATCCCTCTGCCTACACATCTTCACTTGCAAATGCTCATTGAAATGAGTTATTGGTCTGGTTCCAGGTCTCTGGCTTCTGTGACTCCATCAATATTGGGCCCTCACCCAGCCTCCTCCCAGTTTTCCTGTTGTTGTCTGTGTCATGGAGATCCTGTAGCTTTGGATCAGCAAGACTAGCCCTTTTACATGTCCCAACCATTCGCTGATGACATAGATTTTAGGGTGGGCCCATTCAGAGCCCTGGATCTGGGCCTGGGTGGTATCTGAGCTTGTCAGCTCACCGGCTCTCATTTATCTTCACCACCATGGCAGGCTCTGTGGCACTGCTCTGGCTGGGCCGCCAGAGGCCACCATCAGCAGGAGTCAGGACCAGCTCTTCTGCTCTTGCCCTCCAGGCTGGCCCAGCAGTACTTTCATTGTAGGGCCAGCTCCACTGTGCTGCCCAGGCAAGGTACAGGGCCCACGTTTCTAAGTGCTACAACCAGCTAACAGAGCTAGCTCTCCTGCTCTTGTACCCTTAGAGCCAGCTCACCTCCCACACCCCTACCCCAGCCTGCTGCCAAAAGGGCAGCTCCACTGTGCTGTCTGGATGAAGTGCAGGGCCATTTCCATGAGAAGTGTCATGGGGTGGGCCAGTTCTGCAGCCTCTGGATATCCACATAGTCCTGGGTGGCTGCCCTGACCAGAGATGTCCCCATGTTCTCTAGTGATAATATGAGCCAGGGACATCAACACCGACCCCTGCTGCTGTGTAGCTATGGACTCAGACATGGCCCTCAGGGGCAGCTTCTGCTGGGACCTCAACATGGACCCTGGGAGTGGGGGCTGGCCACTCATAACAGCTACCCCTCTCCATCCAGTTCCACCTCTTCGTAACAAGCTGCTCCACGTCTCCTTCTCTCCTACCAGTCCACCATACACTCATACACTGTGGTGGCTCCTGATGCAGGCTGGGCATGTGGATGGCAGGCCCCTGGGTGACATCCTCTGGCAAGCAGGTGTCTACAGCCCTCCTGTGTGAACTTTAGAGGACAGGTCTCTATCTGACTTCCTCCTCCTGATCTGATCTGATCTGATTTTTATGAGTTCCAGGCATGAAACAGTTTTGGCCACCAAGCTAGGCATCAGGACAGGATGCACAAAGGATTGCCATCTGTTCTGGTCCTGGCTGATAGAACACCACCAACAACAAGGTGTCTCTTTGCCCACTGCCAGGGAAGCTCTACTTACATTCTAATACTTATCCTTATGCCCACAGACAATTATACCCCTCACTCCTTATCAAAGCTCCTTTCTGAAGCAAACAGAAACCATCATGTAAATCAAAACTGGTCAAAATGCTGAGAACAAGTAACTGTGAGGACTGCTACCTCTACAATGCAGTCCCTGCACTAAGGCTCAAGGAACATCACAGAAAAGATGAAAAGGCTGCAAATGCCAGAGAACAAGGTCAACTGCTTTGAGATAGTCTTCTATTTACAATAGGGAAGCTCCTAAAATCTTAGCAATACAGCTGCCTGAACAACATCAGCACAATGACAACACCAGCTGATAAAGCAGTGGACAGGGAGAGTCTCCCAAGGCCCTCCCCTGATCAACAGCTGCAGACAATCAATGGCTGCTAAGGAGGGGGAATAAGTCTTCTCCAGGGATGAGGCTCCTGACAGACTATTCAAGCCCAATCTCAACAGGTCAATCCTAAATTCTTGTACATATGAGCAACACTAAACAGACTCAGCAGGCTGTGTGGATGTGTGTGCATGCAAATACTAGAAACAAAAGGTCATAAATTTGAGGGAGTGGAGGAGACATAGAGGGGGAGATGATGCATTTATAGTTTTTATGTGTGAAATTCTTAGAAAAATTAAATTTTAAATAAAAGGAGTTACTCTGTGTGCTACTCCCAGAAGTCATGTCTTTAAATGAAAATCCCAGTGCCTATGAGCTGCTGACCACACAAGTCCCAGAAGCTCCCAAACAACACAGGCTGTGGCCACTTTTGCGGGCTGTCCACCAGAACCAGGTGGTGTATCCCTGCTGCTGGGCACAGCGACCACCCTGCTTCCAGGAAGAGAGAAATCAGGCTGGACCTCCTAGGCTGGGAGCACCCTTCCTGATGGCTAGTGTAGCCAGCAGATGCTCCTGTGCAGGGTGCTGAAGAACAGTGTCACCAGCGGTCTTGCTCAGCTGAGGACCCTGTGTGCTATCACACTAAATAGCCAGGTAAGGTGTGCTACTGGAGCAACAGCGTCATGAGTGCTTTGGTGGTAAACTCTTTTGGACTGGGTTTGAAGCCCACCTGGAATGTGGTTGACACCCAGTGCCAAACCATTGAAAAAAACTGACTTTCCCACTTCCAGAATTATGAATAGCTTTTTGGCTAGAGATGGGATTTCAAACCCACTTCCCCCTCTCTATACTGAGATTTTTTTTCTTTTCACTTGAGCTTATGCAGGTTCTGCACATGCTCTCACAGTCTTCGTGAATTTGTATGTGTAGCTCCCTGCTGTGTCTGGAAGACACTGTTTTCCTTGAAGACATCCACAACCTACGGATCTGCCTATCTTTCCACCTCCTCTTCTGCATAGATCCTCGAAAGGAGGGACACAGACATCCCATTTAGGATTGAACATTCTAAAGTCCCTCACTTTCTGCACTGACTAGTTGTGGGTCTCTGTGTCAATCACCATTTACTGAAAGATGTTTCTCTGATGAAAGCTCACCAATGCCCCGAGATCTGCATCATAGCTACATGTGTCGTGAGGTATCATTCTATTGCTCTATTCATTCGGCAGAGTAACAGTGGACTGGTTTTCTCCGATGACCATGACCCATGTCATTTCATGTTCCCGCAATGTCAGGTGTGGGTTCCCTACCGTAGAGTAGGGCTTGAACTCCACCAAAAAGGAGCTGCTTCCTCCCACAACTGTTGTCACTGTTTCACCAGGGTGCGTACTTTGCAGGTAGGTCACTACCGTAGCTCTTAAGGGTCCACAGTTCAGTGAGACTGATGATTACTTTGCTACTCTGGCAGTGTGTATAAGCACCTTCTGGCACTATGAACACTAGACAATATGGATGAAATTTCCAATTGAGAAATGATCTCTAGATATTCTTTAACTCAATGTGGTGTCTTCAACAACAGGATATCACTGTTAAATGGCAGAGTACAACCAATAGCATTGGCTAAATCCTATAATGTGTGTGAGTCCCTAAGGAATTCCATGATCCGTTTCTTTGTATACATGTATGAACCTAGTGCATATACATGTTATGTGTGCATCTAGGGGCCAGAAGACATCAGCCGTCATTTTTTCAGGTGCCAACCACTTTTTTTTTTTAAAGACAAGATCTCTTCCCACCTTGAAACTTCTTGAGGAAGCTAGCCTGGCTCCCCAGAAAGTACTGAGATCTACCTTTCCGGTGCTAAGATTACAAACACATGCCACAGATGGTTTTTCTTAACATGAGTGTTGG